TTTGGTTTAAAGTGAATGGTAACAACTGTTAGTGAAGTAATATTGTCCAAAGATTGATTGGAAATACTGATAGTTATTACAAACATAAGGCTGTTAAGCAAGCTACTTGAGTTGTTTGTAAATAATCCAAATAAAATTGGGCACAGCCACAAATGAATAAAAGGGACTTTATAAAAACCTTTGAGCTTTGTGTAAAAGAGTCATCTTTTTATTTGGTGCCATTAAGTACGCTTACAGATTCGCCAAAACTTTCTAGATACAAGAAAGAGGCAATAAGCGAGTGGATGTTCCTGAATATTTAAGATCCAAACAAGATGAATATGATCTTGACGATGAAGACATTAAAATTATTGAGAGAAACAAAGTTGCCGGAAAAGTTTTCCTTAATTTGACAGAAGAAAAACTTATAGCTCTTCCGTATAACCTTATGGGTGGGCCAGCTGGCGCAATAGCACTTTTAATTAAGATACTCTATAACGAAGAACAAAGTAAGAACACTTTATTCTAATATATCAATATGGTAAAGGTTTTGCAAATATTTGTTAATAAGAACATTCTTGCTTTGACTTGTCAGTGAACATATATGACATCATTATTAGATATGTGGAACCGAGATTATAATGAATGGCCAGACCTCAAAAATTTCTCGGCCCACTTCTATGATATTGGCAAAGAACAAATACACTTTACATATAAAAGAGAAATAGATTCTCTAAGAACTTTGTTCCCAAAAGACCACCCAGCACAATTAAAGCTCACAATAATGGAAGATCAACTGAAGGTAAATATTATTAATAATATTTTACTTAATGTCTGAAGATATAATGAAGTAGCTTGAAGACTGATTATCTATGCCGAGCTGCGTGCTTGTTGGAGAGGTGCGTCCTCTAATACGGATAGGCCTGTTAGGTCGAATCTGGCTGATTTTCGGTTTGGTATACTTTCTGGGGGAGACAATATCCGTGCTGCATGCACGAAGCGTAGGGTGCGACCCTGGCTTCACTAAAGTG